TGACTGGTTTCGGGGGTGGATGGACCTTAAACCAGCCCCTCTGAACTGAATTTGAAAAAAAAAAACTAAAAAACTACCGATACAGCCCGATACTCCTCTACCGGCATATTGGGCGTATCGATATTTTGAACCTTGCTTGAAGTGACCTTTCTTTTGGAAAAGGAAGTTGAACAGTATAGTTTCTTCTATTCTCTAACCCTCCATTTAATATTTCAGGATGGAAATGAGTCTAAATCGTATGGGGAAGGACTTGTAGGAGCCGGAAATGCTACTTACAACAGTTTATTTTAGATTACTACTGTCAAATGTGATGGAATAAACTATTTGGAATGGGCCCAATCAGCTATGATGGCCATTGGAGGAGGGGGAAAGCTTGTGTTTGTGATGGGAGACAAAGAAATCAGAACAGGAGGATCCTTCTTTTTGAAATGGGTCCAAGAAAGTTATCTAGTTATGACTTGGTTATGTAACTCCATGCAGATTTGGGACAATATGAAAGAAACTTATTTTCAGCCCCTTAGTGTTGCTAGAGCCTTTGAACTGAAAAACGAGGTGAATAATCTTAAATAGGGGTAGAAACTTGTGTCATTTTATTTCTCCACCTTGAAATCATTATGGCATGAGATTGATCATCTTGAAACAATTGTATGGGAGAGCCTGAAAGAATCTGCCATGTACAAGAAATTGGTTGAGAAAAACAGTGTTTGAATTCTTGGTTGGTTTAAACTCTAATTATGACATTGTGAGACAACAACTGCTCACTCGAGAATTCTTTATCTTAGGCCAATTCTCTTGTATATAGTGAGGAAAGTAGGAGGAAGGTAATGTTTTTTTGATGAATTAGGAGGAAGGTAGTGTTACAGATTCCATCTGTGGAATCAGCTTTAGTAGCCATAAAGCTAATGACTAGAGGTGATAAGGAGAAGGAAGTGAAGAAGGAAGGAAAGAGGGATGTGTTTTGTGACTATTGTAAGAAGCCAAAACATACTAAGGGCACTTGTTGGAAGTTTCATCCTCATCTGATAATAGAAAGACTAAGGAATATGAAAGGGAATGCCAATACAACTATAACTACAGGAGCTACATCCAAACCCAACACCAGATCCAGTTCTCTAGATGCATTGGTTGCGGTTAGAGTTGCTTTGACTCAGCTGGAGAGTGAAGTGGACATCTCTAGACAGTCTCATTCCACTCATGTTCCTCCCACTTCAACTATTGCTCAATCATATACACGAGCCACTACCGATCATGCCTCAATTTCATGTAACAATAGCCATTTTTGGATTGTTTTTTGTAGCATCTGATCACATGACCAATTTTCCTTCCCTTTTTCACACTTATTGCTTGTCCTACGACAGAAACAAAGTGTCTATTGTTGATGGCTCTCTTGTCCCTATTTATGGCAAGGGAGCCATCAAAGTCTCTGATGCCATTTAATTATCCTCAGTTCTACATGTTCCTAAGCTAAGTACTAGTCTACTTTCAGTCAGTAGTATCAGTGAACATCAGAACTGTTCAGTGACCTTTTTCCCTGATCATTGCGTTTTTTAGGATCTGGCGACGAGGAAGGTGATTGGGACTGGCCAATAGACGAATGGGATGGTACAAATACTTTTGAAGTTGTGCATATCGATGTTTGGGGGCTTTTTTATATTTCTGCTATGGGATGGTACAAATACTTTCTATTGTTTGTTGATGACTACTCTTGTTTTTCATGGGTTTTCATCAAATGGTCTTGAATCGTTTTGGGATTAAAATAAAAAATCTCAGATTTGATAATGCCAAGGAGTAATTTGCAAAACTCTTAGCCTCTTATCTCCTTGAGCATGAAGTTATTCATCAGAGCACTTGTCCCCATACACCTCAGTAGATTGAGGTAGCTGAGAGGAAAAGTAGGTACATCCTTAAAGTTGCAAGAAGCATCATGTTGAACTCTAATGTTCCTATATGTTTCTAAGGGGATGCCATTCTCACTAATAGGATTCCTTTATGAGTCTTGGACATGAAAGATCTTTTTAACTTGTTGTGTCCTGATGAGGAGTAGTTTTCTATTCTTCCCAAAAGATTTGGATGCACCTTTTTGTCCAGATTGTTGATCCTAACGATTGTAAATTTATTCCTAAGGTTGCAAAGTGTATTTTCCTTGGACACACAAAAAATCAAAAGGGGTATTATTGTTATGATCCTCTATCAACAACTCGGTTTGTATCTATGGATGTCACCTTCTTTGAAGATGTCCCCTATTATCCTAGAGTTCCATCTCACGGGTAGTTTGGTGAGTTGGGCATTTTTGCTCTGGATGACCCTTTGCCTATTCATGTGAATGAAGGGGAGTGTAATGAGGGGAGTTGTGAAAAGTGTAAAGAATTGAGGGTGTTTCATAGACGATGGTGGAGGCAAGTTGGTTCCGGTAATGAACAATTCAGGCCAGTTCTAGTCTCCTCTACAACACCCAATTCAGGTATTTCCTCCTCTTTACTAACTCCTACTACAGATGACATACCCACTACCTCCATTGAGCCTCAACCACCTTTAGATGATCTTGACCTCCCTATTACATTACACAAAGGGAAGCATCGTTTTACTTAATCTACTGCGCATTGTATCTCCCATTTTCTTTTTGATGACCACCTTTCATCATCATATAAGTCCTTTTTAGCCTCCATTTTAACCATTTCTATTCCTAGAGTTGTGCAAGAAGCCCTAGTTGTACTTGAGTGGAAGTAATGAAGGTTGAGATGAATGCCCTTGAGAAAAATTATACATGGGAATTGGTAGATCAGTCCATAGGGGAGAAACCTGATAGGTTAAGATGGATATTCACAGTAAAGTATAATGCCGATGCTACAGTTGAAAGATACAAGGCTAGACTAGTTGCTAAGGTATACACACAAACTTATGGATTTGATTATTTGGAAACCTTTGCACCAATTGTCAAAATGAACACCATTAGGGTTTTGTTGTCTCTTATTGCTAACTTTTCATGGCCATTGCTTCAGATGGATGTTAAGAATGCATTTCTAAATGATGACTTGCAGGAGGAGGTGTATATGGAGTTGCCTCTTGGCTTTTATGATGCAGAGGTTGGTAAGAATGTCTGTATGTTGAAGAAAGCTTTGTATGGCCTGAAATAATCACCAAGAGTATGGTTTGATAGATTTAGACTTGGTTTAGAAAGATTTGGTATGTTCAAGCCCAGTCTAATCACACTTTTTTCATTAAGAAGGAATGTACGGCTTTGACTCTCCTAGCTGTGTATGTTGATGACATTGTTGTGACAAGGAGTGATATTGATGAAATTAATTCTCTTAAACAATTGCTTAATCAAGAGTTTGAAGTAAAGGATCTGAATGAGTTGAGGTATTTCTTAGGGATTGAAGTGGCAAGGTCTAAGCATGGCTTTTTTATTTCCTAGAGGAAGAAGTGTTGTTGGAGGAAATCTAGTTTTTTGGAGGAGCAAGAAACAAAATGTTGTTGCTTGCTCTAGTTCTGAATCTGAATACAGTCTATGGCTAATGGTGTTTCTGAAGTGTTATGACTGAAATCACTCCTTGAAGAATTGGGAATTGAGTATGAAAGACCCTTGATGCTGTATTGTGATAATTAGGCAGCTATTAACATTGCTCATAACCCAATACAGCATGATAGAACCAAACACATTGAAGTTGCCTCTCAAGAAGTTGGCCTTCCTTACGTAGCCTCTGATATACAGCTTGTTAATCTCTTTACTAAGGAAGTTGCCAAAATCAAGCTTGAGATAGATATAAACAAGTTGGGAATGATGAATATCTTTTCGCAACTTGAGGGGAAGTGTAGAGAAAATGATTGACCAATTTGTGGTCTCACTACTTTATTATTTCTTGATATATTGCTGTTAGCATGTGTTTTACTGTTACTTGAGACAGGGGTATTCCTGTCATTGTACCTCTTTTATTTTGTGTCTAATATAAATAGCACCTGGGGTGGCAGATAAGAAAAGATTTCTAGACACTTTTCTTCTTTTCTTTCTTCTCTTCTCTTCCATCTCTGCTCTTTTCTTTTCTTTTTCTGATTTCTTCTTGTTAAAACAGTTCTGAACCTCATTGGTTTTAGACAACTAAGGTTGAAGCATCCACAAATCCCTTAAACTATTGTAGAGCATCCCATGTCTGAAATGAATGTCGCTTCCTGTCTTCTCTAATTTCATGTGTTTTTCCTCGTGCTTTTAGCTCCTCGGTTTGAAATCTTTTCTTTTCTCCATTTGTTCACCTGATTGAAGCTTTTTATTTTTCCATCTCTAGTTACTTGTTTCATGAAAAACTTGGTATTATGTTCCATGCATGTGATGGCATTGTTCTATCATCTTTGGCATTTTTCTGTGGCAATACAAGTTATCTTTCTATCCTACATATGACATGTACTGCCTTGATTAACTTGTTGCTGGATAGCATATAGGTGCAAAAACTTTGAGTTGTACTATTTCCTTTCACTACTATGTATTGCACTTTTCCATAGCTGTAAATTTTCCTTCAATCAATTGATTTTTACTTGTAATGTTTGCTAGAATGTCACAAGTAAAATGATAAGTATGCAACCTGAATGACATTTAGGCACTCTTCCTTTTGTCTCAGGCTTTCCTAGACTTCAGATGCTCTGTTATTGAGAGACGTGCACAGTTTAAGCTTTCTCAAGCTCAAGAAAGAAAGCATATTGTAGAGGTGTGCCTTATAATAAAAGAAAAAATGAGTAATTATCTATTATGTCTTAAGCAATCCACTTAGATCATCTTTCAGCAGAGAGTGTAAAACAAAACTAGTTATGCAGACATGGTTGCAAATATTGTTGGTAATTAATTTGATATCATTTCTGCTCAGGGTATTATAGTGGGGCTTGATAATTTGGATGGTGTGATTCATATAATTAGGGAAACTTCGAATAATGTGATGGCTTCAGCTGCCTTGAGGAATAGTAAGTACCCATACCTTTTTTGACACCTTTTCTTCATTATGTTGACATGTTATTACTGTCTTCTGTGGTGCTACATGTTATCTACTCAATTCCTTTTCTTTTTAGTGTTACGGTAATGTTTTTTTATTGTTGCTGTGTTCCTAAGGCACTTTCTTTTTTAATTGAAACAATGAGATAAAAGATAAATGATCCGTAAGTTCCTTTTGGTGGGGCTGGTAGCATTTGCTCCGGCCTCTTCAAAACTGAGCTGGAAATGGAACTGCTTTTCTGTCTGGGTGGCAGGTCAGTGGTTCAAACATTTGGGTCAAATGGGTCAATGTATAGTTAAATATATCTCTATCTATCTATCTATCTATTGATACACACACACACACACAGTTCTATTAAAAGTGTGAATGAGAGTGAAACTTTTGTTTGACTAAAATACCTAATTCGAGTAAAGAAAAAACAATGCAACCCTTCAAGTCAAATGTGTAAATCCTTGATATGATAATGAAATAAAAAATGAAAAACGTTTAAGCACTTATCTATTGTTTTATATTAATCATATAAAACAAAAATAACTGTGATAAATAATTGTTGTTTTTATTGATGTTGGAAAGAAAATATAAAAGTTAAAACTGACCCAAAAATGAAATTGTTTTCTTGGTGGTGGGTCAAAGTTCAACCTTTTCAGGTCATTCGTGTCAACCATTGACCTCCTAATTAAATAATAAGAAATTTAAAATATAAAATACAAAATATGAAAAATATAGAAACTGTAGAAAATTTGTTTTTATTGATGATAGAAATAAAAATACAAGTTTAAAACAACTTAAAAAATAAAAACTCACAAATGTAGAAAAATAGAAAGGATTTTAAAGAAAATAAGTGTGAAAAATAAGAATAATTTTTACAGACAGAGAAATATAAAAAAATGTGGAAAATTTGAAAACATATAATTTATTATCATAAAAAGTTTCAATGTGCAAAGGGCATGCACACTTACTAATACAGTAAATAGCAGAAACTTTGCAAAAAAAAAAAGGCTTGTCTCAAGTGTTATACATTCATCATATGAAGCAGAAATAAGCATCACAAATACAACCTATTACTATTAGTGATGGAAATGGCTAAAAAATACAGAAAATTGGTGAGAACCTTGGCTATTTGTTCATCTGATGTTATATATTCATAACATTGATTAAACAGAACAGCTGTACTAACTAAAATTATCTATTCATCACATTGATGAAGAAGCCACGTGGATGCTGAACCAGAGTCGACAATGATAATATCTTTTTATGATGGGTGGAGTTAGTATGCATTTTGAGCTAATAGGCCTTCTAAAATATTTAAAGTTTGCATTTTTTCAATTAATTATTATTTTTACTATTTTCTTGCTTTATTTTGCATAATTTATATTATACTCTTGGATAGTTAAAAAGTTCAAACATTTTATGTAGAGAACACTGATGTGGGCCCCATAGCTGTGGTCCCACTCTATCTGTAGGGTAGAATGTACCCTAGTCATCCTAGGGTTAGCTGATGGTCAATCTGTTATTCTAGTTGTTATTTATATTTCAGTTTTATATTGTTTTATGTGTTATGTAAATACCAAGGGCAGATGTGTCCTTTCATGTAACTAGCATAACCTATAAATATTAAACAGAAGTGGCGGCGGCAGAATACTTAAATTCTGTCATTCCTTTCAAATCTTGTGTTCTACTGCTCTCTCTCTACTCTTTCTCCTCTTTCCTCTATACTTTTCTCCTTTTTCGAACCTGAAATTTATTAGGGTTCAAGACTGATAGCAGTCTTGAACATCTATATGGTATCAAAGCAAGGTTAGGGTTTCTCATGTGAGTCTAGTACCAGCCGACCACATGATAATCTCCTAGGACTGGAAGCTGAAAAGATGGAGTTCGTAGACTGATTATTGGAGTTCGCCAGAAGGATTAGCAGTTGTTGAAGGCTTGTCACGGTTGCAGAGTGTTGGTGGTCAGGAAGAATCATAGAAGACTAGGGTTCGGGTAACCTTGGAAGGCAGCGAACAGTTTTTTTTTTTTTTCGTGTAAGTTATTTACTTTCTAAGAGAAATTCTATCAGAGAAGATAGGTTGGACCTATCTGGAGAGGGCGGCCGACAATTCTAGGGTTTTCTCCCTTCTATTCTCTAGGGTTTTACTGCAAACCCTACTGTTGGGCCGAACTGCCTTAGCTTTGTTTCTCTCTACTCTAGGGTTTGAAAGTGATCTTGCGGCAAGCCCTAATGTTAGACTGAACCTTGCGATTTAGTTGGGGCTGTCCTCAAGTTTTTGTTAGCATTGATCATGTTTTAGGGTTTCTCTTTAAGGATTGATTAAAACCCTAATTCTGCCAAGCATATCAGACCTACTTCTAAGCTGTTTTTCAGATCCTTTTGGGGTTTTCGAACACTCTTAAGGGGTGAGAACTGTACGGACAGTTGCTGTTGTGTTTGCTAGTTGGTTTCAGATCAGAGTTATACCAGTTTTGTGCACATACACTGTGAATACAGATCAGTCCTACACTGTTTTGATTGTGATTAATAGTCCAAGTACTGTTTTTGAGACTTGACCGAGATGGAGTTTAAAAATCAGGCAGAAGGCAGCTTTGGGAACATCGGTTATGGTAGTGTTTTTGAGACGGGTGGTCAGATTACAACCGTAAAGTTTGATGGATCAAACTATTTGGAATGGGCCTAATCAGCCGTGATGGCTATTGGGGGAAGAGGTAAATTAGGGTACCTCTTGGGAGATGTGAAAGAACCCCCCAAGGGAGACCCTACGTATACCAAGTGGATCCAAGAAAACTACTTGGTTATGACATGGCTGTGTAATTCTATGCAGCCTCATATTAGCCGAAATTACTTGTGGGCAAAGACAGCTAAGGAGATATGGGATGTTATGAAAGAAACTTATTCCCAACCCCTTAATGTTGCCAGAGCATATGAATAGAAATGTGAAGTGAAAAACCTTAAACAAGGAGAGAATTCGATTTCCGTATGCTTCTCTACCTTGCAGTCCCTGTGGCGTGAGATTGATCACTTAGAGACTCTTGAGTGGGATAGTCCCACAGATGCACAGATATATAGAAAGAAGGTCGAGACAAATCGAGTGTTTGAGTTTCTGGCGGGCCTAAATTCAGAGTATGATATTGTGCGGCAACAGATTTTGACTTGAGACAGTGTGACTCTCTCTCAGGCATACTCATTCGTATATAGTGAAGAGACCAAAAGGAAAGTTATGATGCAACCTCAACCCCTTACACCAGCCTTTGTAGCTGTCACACCCAAATTAGGGGGTGATTCAGAGAAGGACAGGAGGAAGGAAGACAAAAAGGATGTGGTATGTGAACATTGTAAGAAACCCAAACATACAAAAGAAACATGTTGGAAACTGCATCCTCACTTGGTTCCGGCGATGTTGAGAAGCAAGAAGGGCACTGCTCATGTGGTCGTGAACACTGATTCAACATCCTCATCTGGCACAAGAGGAACACCTTTAGAGACCTTTGCTGCAGTTCGGGCTGCCCTAATACAGTTAGAAAAGGAAGTTGGAAATTCAGCTCAGCCMCCGCAGTCACCATCAGCTCCTGCCACATCTGCCTTCGCACATTCAGGTACTCGAGCTTCAGCCTACCATTCTTCAGCTCCAGGTACTACTGAACCTTGTTGGGTAATAGATTCAGGGGCATCCGACCACATGACTAGCTTGCCTTCACTGTTTACCACTTACCATTTGTCTTCTGGTAGGGATAAAGTATCTATTGTTGATGGCTCCCTAGTTCCTATTTCTGGGAAGGGTGACTTCAAGTTATCAGATACTATCTCCCTGTCATCTCTTTTGCATGTTCTTAAGCTTGATACTAATCTTCTTTCAGTTAGTAGTATTAGCAAGCATATGAACTGCTCAATAACCTTATTCCCTGATCGATGTGTTTTTCAGGACTTGGAGACGAAGAAGGTGATTGGGACTGGCCGTGAGACGAATGGGATCTATCTGCTCGGGGAGAGGTCCCGTCAGGAAGAGTCAGTAGGGAAGATGTCTTTTGTTTCTCAGAGTGTGAGTTCAGTTATGCGAAAGCATAACCGATTAGGTTATTTGTCCTTTCGGTCTCTAAAGAGTCTGTTTCCTGCTTTATTTTAGTCTATTGAGTTGTCTCAGTTGCAGTGTGAAAGTTGTGAGTTCGCTAAGCATTGTAGAAAGTCTTATTTATTGAGCAATAAAAGTAGTAATAATTTTTCCCTTCCATGGGTGGGTACAAATATTTCTTGTTATTTGTTGATGACCATACCCGTTTTTCTTGGGTTTATCTCATGCGTTCACGAGATGAGGTCCCTGCCCTGACCCAAAACTTTCACCAAATGATCCTAACCCAATTTGATGCCAAGATCAAAGTTCTTAGATCCGATAACGCAAATGAATACTTTGCTAAACCATTGACATCTTACCTTCTTAATCATGGGGTTATACACTAGAGCTCTTGCCCTCATACACCTCAGCATAATGGAGTTGCAGAAAGGAAGAATATACACATCTTGGAGGTGGCTAGAAGTCTCATGTTTACCTCCAATGTCCCTATTCGCTTCTGGGGTAATGCTATCCTCACGACGGTATATCTTATTAATCGGGTTCCTTCTCGGGTCCTTGATATGAGATCTCCTTTTTCCCTTCTATACCCAAGTGAGGAGTTGTTTTCTATTCCCCTTAAAACATTCGGTTGTACCTGCTTTGATCAGCTTCTCGGACCCCATCACTTCAAGTTCGAACTCAAGGCCTCCAAATGCATCTTCCTTGGTTATGCACAAACTCAAAAGGGTTATTGCTGCTATGATCCTGTCTCAGGGAGGAAGTTTGTCTCTATGGATGTCACTTTCTTTGTGGAGACACCCTATTATCCTTGGGTTTACCTCAGGGGGAGAGCAGTGAGAGTGAGGGTTTGAGTTCTTTTCTTCATGGGGAGAGCAGTGAGAGTGGGGGTTTGAGTCCTTGTCTTTAG